TTAGGCTTAGATTAGAGTTGAAATTAAATCTGTTAAACCAGATTACGTTTCCCCTACACGTGTTGGAATCTCGTGGAACATCTAAGTTCGCCACTTCGAGTAATCTTAAATCTTAATCTCCCGTACTTGATTCGCCTTTTATCTGGCTTTATGTTTGGATTAGATAATCTGAATCGGTAACTGATCGTATTCTCGTTATTTGTCCAGAGGGAAACCTAGAAATTTATGCAATTTCGGAATCGTGTTGGTTAAATTTTATCGTGGGATGAGCGATGGAGTCAATGAGAGAGGCGTAGATATAACAGAAACACATTTTATTTTATTTTACTTGAGTTTATGTTAGAGAATATTGATAAAATATGATCTGACGAGTTATGATATTTGAACAGTCCACTTCGCTTGCGATCATTAATCAGCAATACTTTTTTATCCATTGAGATAACAATGTTCTCTTGTTTACACTTTTCAATTTCTATTCAACGTCTCTTCAACAAGTTTGGATATTTTCTGAGTACTTAGAGTTTCGAAGTTAATCAAACGAAATTATCGTTATTGAAGTTGTTGAAGCGGATATAATTTGTCCGACATGTCTTTAATTTCTTCTTCCATTCAAGTTTCTAACTCGAAACTTGAGCTTTTCTAACTTGAATTTTTTCCACGAAAAATATATATATAGGATTTCTCTTTTTCATATATATATAAAAATATATATATAAAGACTCTCGTTGCAAAATCTATAATCTATAATCTATATTTAATTAATAATAATAAGTAAATCTATAATCTAAGACATAAACCGAAGTCATCGTATTATTCTTCTCTATTTAATTTCTTCTTCTGTTTATCCTAACTTCTAAGTTGAACTTTTTCCAGGATTTCTTTTTTTCATATCATACATAAAGATGCTCGTTGCAAAATCTATCACAAAATAAACCAAAATCATTGTATCATTCTTCTATATTTTTTTTCTTCCATTTATTTAATTTGAAACTTCTAGAAAAAAAATTTAAATTTCTTCTACGTAAAAACATATATAGGATTTCTCTTATTAAATACTCATTGCAAAATCTATCATTTAACATGAAATAAATCGAAGTCATCGTATTACTCTTCTATATTTAATTTCTTCTTCCATTCATCTAACTTCTAAGTTGAACTTTTTCCAAGATTTCTTTTTTTTCATATCATATATAAAGACCCTCGTTGCAAAATCTATCACAAAATAAACCAAAATCATTGTATCATTCTTCTACATTTAATTTCTTCTTCCATTCACCTAACTTCTAACTTGAACTTCTTCTATTTAAAAATATATATTATATACGATTTCTCTTTTTATCAAATATATTTTTATATAAAAGACACTATCATCGTATCTCTTCTACTTAATTTCTTCTTTCATTCACCTAACTGCTAACTTGAATTTTTTCCACGTAAAAACATGGGGATTTCTTTTTTTCATATCAAATAAAGATACTCGTTGCAAAATCTATCATTTAGCACAAAATAAACCATTTTATCATTCTTCTATATTTAATTTCTTCTTTCATTCATCTAAATTTTAACTACTTCTTCCATTTAAAAATATATATTATATACGATTTCTCTCTTTCAAATACATAAAAAAATTCATATCAAATACACAAAGACACCATCATCGTATCTCTTCTATATTTAATTTCTTCTTTCATTCACCTAACTGCTAACTTGAATTTCTTCCACGTAAAAACATATATAGAATTTCTCTTTTTCATACCAAATACATAAAGACACTCGTTGCAAAATCTATCATCTAGCACGAAGTAAGCTATCGCCATCCTTTATCTTCCTTTTCTCTCTCTCTCTCTCAAATTCGATTTGACAATTGGTGGACGGCAAAAGAGAGAGGTGGGGAATAGACGTTTTTCCCCTTCCAGAAAAGAGAACAGACGTGATTCACAAGTACACTTTTTTTTCTTGGAGAAAAAACAATGAAGTCGATTCTCGTTGACCCAAGACTCGAGCGAACGCTTCTTCAAACTAAATCGAATTCCTGTACGAGAAAAGGAAAAGGAAAAGAAAAAGAAAAAAAGGAAGGAAAGAAGGTGAAACGTCGTCCTTTTCCTTCAGGAGGAGGACGTTTCACCTTCGTGCAACTTGGTCGAACGTAATATCAATCTAAAGTTCGAACGATGCTCCGCAACGGGACTCCATGGCGAAACAAGTTCGAGGGTGTGGACAAACGTCGTCGAGGCAATGACGACAAACACGAATTCGTTCTTCTTCGGTGAAATTTTCAACAATGGGGCGACAGAGAGAGAGAGAGAGAAAGGAAGAGGGAGAGAGAAAGAAGGAACCTTGAATCTATAAGGAAATGAGAGGAGGGAGGAAACAAAGGGTGGCTGACAAACGAGGCAACCACAGTTGGCCTGGTCTGTTTGATTTACAAACGTGACGTCGCAAGAGGATAACGTTCCTGTTGGAATTGTCCAGAAAGAATTCAATTTAACACGTTCTCCATCACGTACCTCGTACATGGT